AAACATCGATGAGAGAGAATCATCCATCAGCTGCCTCTTGCACACTCCCTACTGGGGATGTGCCCGCAACCAAAGTACATTCCCTCAACCAGAATCGAACTCAGGACCTTTCAATCTGCAGGCCGATGCTCTATCCACTGAACCAAACCGGTCCCGGCTCCTCACAGTTCTTAAGCCCATCTCATGTCCGCTTTCCCCGACCCCAATTCATTTGTTTGAGAGGCAATGCTGAGGGACGAAGGGGAGTGTTCATCAGAATCCCCTGGGTGGTTTCTTTTATTCATTTTTTATAGATATATATTTTTAAATATATTTTATTGATTTTTCTACAGAGGAAGAGAGGATAGAGAGTTAGAAACATCAATGAGAGAAAATCATCGATCAGCTGCCTCTTGCACACCCCCTACTGGGGATGTGCCCGCAACCAAGGTACATGCCCTTGACCAAAATCTAACCTGGGACCTTTCAGTCCACAAGCCAACGCTCTATTTACTGAGCCAAACGTTTTGGCATCTTTCCTTTTTTTAAAAAATATATGTTTATTGATTTCATAGAGGAAAGAAGAGGAAGAAAAAGATAGAAGCATCAATGATGAGAGAGAATCATGGACCCACTACCTCCTGCATGCCCCCTACAAAGGATCTAGCCCACAACCCAAGCATGTTCCCTGACCAGGAATCAAACCGAGACCTCCTGGTTCATAGTTCGATGCTCAACCACTGAGCCACACCAGCCGTGCTCCGCTTAGTCTTTCAAAGGTTCCCCAGAACCCTCAGAATCAAGTCCAAACTCATCTGAAAACCATTCATGTGTTCCTTCTTGCCCACAGCTTCCACCTCATCTACCCCATCCCTTCTGGGCACCCTGCACTCAAACCTTATCAGGTATGGTGGCACTCACTGTCCCTAGAACATCCCTCCTGTCTCTGCCTTGCTGTTCTCTCTGCCTCCTACCTTTCTGCTTGGAAGTCACCTGGTTCAAAAAGCTTCTCCTGGCAAGTACGTAGGCATTTCCTGGTCTGTTTCCTTGTATCATGATTCTATATTAATCAGATACTAGTGGCCTAGTGCACAGTTTCATACACATTGAAAGGACATTAATTAGAAGAAATATTTCAATATCACTATTTGCCCTTTATAATAGTGTCAACCAAATTCACGATCGACAATGACAGATCAAAAGAAATGAGTGTGAGTGGCGCCAGCAAGAGCTTTATTTGTATCTCTCATGCTCGAGTCAACGTAACCTTTTATATAGAGAGAATAAACTTGCTTAATTAGACCTGCTTTCAGTCTAATTGAACTTTTTCCAATCCAGTGAAGCACCCCAACTTCTCTTTCAGGTAATTGTCAGCAACACAGCAGTAAATACCAATGCAAAGTAGGATATTATTGTAGATCACGAGTTATACAGCTTGACTTCCAAGAACTGAAGCTAGACGTTAATCAACTCAGGATTAAAGGGTAAAATACTTAACTGCAGCAGTGTTTGACTGTATTCTGTGTAGTGAGAAAACCTGAAGTCATTTTCAAGGTCCACCATTTCTTACTTCTTCTAGGTCAGGTCAAGTTTCTAAACTTTCTAAATCTCCATTTTCTGGCTAATGAAAAAAAAAAAATAGTATTCTACTGAGTCTCCTACCTACTACTCCAGGATTTCTACGAGGATCAAATCAGATGAGGCAAGGGAAAACGCTTCACAGACATTTGGTTAAAGTGTAAAATGTTTGCACTGGCTATAAAGCAAGCCATGTTCCTGGACTAAAGAAACTCCAAGGAGGCTAGTAGCTGGGAGAAGAAACCAGGCGTTGCTATGTGATGTCATCACCTGCAACCATTTCTGAAGTGGGCTGGGCTGTGGGCCACATTTTGCATCATGGGGTCTCAGCAGCATTGGCTGTGATTGATTTAGTGGGATGTGACTCCAGGGTGGTGGCAGGGCCTGTGTCCTACTTGGGGGAAACTGAATGTTGCTTTGTCGGTGCCAGGTCCACGGTGCCGTTTCTTTGTAAATGGCCAGTGTGCACACTGCAACTCCTGCATTGCGTGTCTTCCCCCTGGTGGTCAGTGTGCATCATAGCAACTAGTTGAATGGTTGGAGGGACACTTAGAATATATACAGACTATAAGAATTTGTGCCTCACCCATTAAACTGTGAAAGGACTTCATTCAATTCATTTTTGTATGTCCTTATGTAGAGCCTGAGACATAACATGTACTAAATAGCCACTGAATAAATTTCTGAAGTGATTCAGTTTTAATTCTTATTTTTCTGATTGCTTTAATCTATATATATAAAAAGCCAGCAACCAATATGGCCATAAGGACCATAATAACTGGTCGCTATGACATCCACTGTGGCCAGCAAACCAGCACAATCAGGGGGAGGGGCAGGCCGGCCAGCCAGCCAACCTCAGGGCCTCTTCCCCAGATGGTCTGGCCCTCACTGTCCCTAATTGGGGCAGGCCAGCAGGACAATCTCCCACCATCTCCTCCTTCCAACAGGCCCCTGATCCACCCTGATTAGGGCAGGGCTGGCTGGATGCCACCAGGGCACAAATCCCTGCAATGGGCCTCTAATATAAAATAAAACACAATACTACTTCCAGGACGGCATGCTCTTTGAGTCCCTTTTAATAATGACAGTTTAGATTTGAACGGTACTTTCATTTCTCTAGCACTTTTCCCCCAACACTTTGTTATGATTATTTCCAAACATATAACCCATCACTTAGATTCTGACTAAACCTTTTGTTATTCAGGCATTCCTAGGAGATATTGCTGTTTGTTTCAGGCTACTGCAATAAAGCAAGTCCTAATGTTTTTGCTTTTGGAGGGTCTTGTTTTCAATTTACATTGTGAATCCCAATACAGCGTGAGGTATGCAAAACACTTTTATGGCCTATTTTATTATTGCCTTTTATTTCTAATGACTAAGGTCTGATTCTACATGTTTTATAACTTAGAACACTGAGATTAAGAAGGTTTATTGACTTGCCAAAGAGCTTGCCTTTCAGGAGCTGTAATCTTGTGCCTGCTGACTAATCCACACCTTCTGGGCACTAAATATGTTGACGTAAGAAGGTCTGAACCTGCAGAGAATTTTATGTGTTTATTTGAACCAAACAGATGACATAAGCTGGGGAGGAAGATTGCATATACTCCCGAGATGAACAAGTTTCTTTTATGCATTTGAAATTATGGAGGTAGGGAAAAGCAAAGCAGGGATAGAATTACAGAATAGTTAATAAGATTATGTGCTCTCTTAAGGGTGGTTACAATTTATTGCAAAGGTGTATTAACCTAGATGCACAGGGGGAAAAAAATGAGCAGGGCTTGCTTAAGGCAAAGGTATCCCTCTGACTTAAAGTTATGTGCTTGAGGTGTGACTACCCACAATGACCTACCCAGGTAGGAATTTATGATCAGGTCACCCTGTGAGGTCACTTTCCATATAACCCAGGTCTGAAAATAAATAGGAGAATCAGCAAAATTATGGAATAACCAACAAGAGAGTGTTTGTAGCTCATAAGTAATTCAGAGAGGTGTCCAGTCTTGGGCACCCTCTCCCTTGCCCCTCTTCCATTCCTGGTTAGTCATCATTTCCTGCGGCACCTGCGGTGTTCCTTCCGTCCATTCTCCTCTAGTACAAGAAGAAGCAAGTCTAGACTACCTTTCATCTCAGCTGGTCTACCCTTTCTTTACATGTGCCTGAGACACGTGACCTCCATTACAGCAGGGCCTTACTCACATCCTTGCCCAACTCACAAAACACAGCAGCTCACCACTCTTTCCTACCATATCGAGCTATTATTATCTCTGCCCTTCCACAATGTAACTTGCCCAAGCATCTATTCTCTTACTCCTTAGCTTCCATCCTGCATGACTAAAAGGGAGAGTTGTTTCCCCCCAAATACTTCCAGGGCTTTGTGCTTTCTTCCTTTCTCCACCTGTCAATCACCCTCACTCTTCCTCTCTCCCCCAAACTTCCACACGCGTACATTCTAGACTTACACGTTAATGGCCCAATGTCAACTGTCCTCATCATAAACCTCCTGGGAACTCCAGGCCCGTTATAACCCCTATCGCCACATTTATGACAACGTGTGGTACCGATCGATCTTAATCTACCTTGTAAAGCATTACGGTCTGATTTCTCACGATCTTCTGCCCTCCGCCTTGCAAAGCAACCTTGGGGAAAGGGACACTTATCGTATCCATCGCCCACGCACAGAAGGTGCTTTATTGTGCTTAATATCATTGAATGCTCAAAATCATTGAATGCTCAATATCATTGAATGTAATACATGTGCTCAATATCATTTATTGTGCTCAATATCATTGAATGCTCAATATCATTGAATGTAATATATGCGCTCAATATCATTTATTGTGCTCAATATCATTGAATTCAGCCACACGAGCAGGAGGCTTACGCCCTTTGCTGTATTCACACTCACTCGCACACACGGATGAGGTCTTCCACTCGACACACACGTGTCCGGGAGCCCAGCCCTGGAACTGCCTGGGGGACTCCCAGCCTGTGGGCTCTTCCATTCCAGCCGGCTGGAGGGGGGGCTCATTTCTTTAAAACCGCTCCATCGGATGCCTCAGACCTCCCTAGGCCTCAGACAGCCTCCTCTCCACCATTAGATATTAATACGTTTCCTTTACAAATAAAATTATCCCGATTCTTGGACTATGGCCCGGTCGCGCCTGAGTCCGCCCCACGCAACACCCCCCCGTCCTCCTCGGTAGCGCCCGCTTTGTCAGCGTGCCGGCTCGCCGGTTACTAACCTCCAGGTCTCAGTGCTCCGCCGGCAGTGCCGCCGCCGCCGCAGCCGCTCCCGCCTCTGCCTCGGCTCTTCCCCGGCCAGGACTTCCCCGGCTCCGACCGTCCCTTCCCGGGGGCGACCCGAGGGCCTGCTCCCCGCCGCCTCGGCCGTGCTCCGCTCCTCGGGCGCGCGAGGGGCCGCGGTGGTGGCGGCAGCGGCGCCCGGCATGTATCAGAGCCCGCGGCGGCTCTGCTCCGCCCTGCTGCACCGGGACGCCGCCGGCCTGCGCCGCCGGCCCGGCCCCGGCCCCGGCCCCGGCCCCGGCGCGCGCGGGCAGCGGTCCCCCTGGGCGGCCGCCCCCCGGCCCGCGCCCCCGCGGCTCCTGGCGGCGGCCTCGGGCGCGGCGACGCTGTGCGCGCGGACAGGTGAGTGGCCGGCGGGCCGCGCGGGACGCCGCCTGCGCCGCGGAATGAATGGGAGCGGGCGGCGGGCGGCGGGCGGCGGGCGGCGGTGAATGGGAGCGGGCGGCGGGCGGCGGGCGGCCCCTCCCGCTCTCTCCTCTTCCCCGGGGGTTCGCATCCGGAACGCTGTGTTGGGGTTCATTGTGTTTGATCCTTGGGTGCCGAGCCTTCAGGACTTCTCGCCTGGACCTCCCTTTAATCCCCCCCTTGCTGAGCCGAAAATGATTCGTGTTGGTTTTATTATACTTCATATTCCGCGAATTATGGAAATTTATGTAAAAAAGTAATAACTGAAAGTTACACTTATCTGACCCTGTGGCTTGCAGGGTCTCGATGTTCTGTCTGTTGTAATATACATATATATATTTTATAATCTCAATGTATTGTAGCACACAATGACTCGCTTTACAATTTTTTTTTTTTGAGCCTTCCGCTCCTAATACGTCCTCTGTGTTCTATATATCCGGGTTAAGATCTTGTAAAGGTGATGCCTTCTCCGTGAGCCAATTTTAAAACACCACGTAAGACTTTTCCTCCTTTTTTTTTTTTTTTTTTTTTTTTTTGCCACCTCGGTTTCTTCCTGAGGACACATGTCTGTGGCCACAAAATACAAACAATTTAATCATACTTGTAAAATGAGTAAGTCTCTCTTTTCAGACTGGCATTTCACACTAAAACGTGTATTTGGGTTTGTGCCCAAGTTAGGGTGTTGCTGTTTGAGACCTTCTGTTGGCCCCACCCTTACATTATAAACACACACATTTCACTCCCCAAGTTTTGGAATCATTTAAGGACAAACGGGAAGAATATGTCCAATGTGACTTTCTTTAATTAATGAAAGTGATAATCCAGAATGTGATTGAAGCCAACACTTGAAACTCTATTCAGAGTATTGGCAAATGTTATGCTGAGGCTTTTATTTATATTTATGCATTTATTTATTTAAGCCCTTCTTGAACTAAAATGACTAAAGGAGACACAAATTTATTACAAAGCTAACCATGAGTACGCTGCCATGTAGAATAATGGGAAGCGGTATAATTCTGCACTAACCGGCTGAGGCATCCTTATAAACTCAAGATGTTACACCGGTAGCTGAGACTCTAAGGTAGATAGTTCTTTAGAAAGGGTGAACTTTCCCAGGTCTGTAAGAATTAGGCACACTGAAATAACTGGTAGAATAAGTAGACCATATAAGTTAGTGTTTTACTTGCTGGAAGTTTTCAAGAGGAGCGTTATTAGGTTGGGGGAGAAGGGAGGAGGAAAAGGACCAGTTGGAGTCTCCTGTCTGTGCTCATACCATTAGGCCCCTCAGGGGAGAGTTAGTCAGTAGGTCCTCCTTGGAAACAGGTAGCTGTGTAACACGGATGTACATAGCTGTGCTGTTAGCTGAGGGAAAACATGGTCAGGTCACACCGAACACTGGGAATGTGTTTTATGAGCTTTTTTAAAAGTCCTCTTGAAACACCCTAGTTTCACATAGAAAGACATTGTTATGGCCCTCAAGCTACTGTAGACAGTTGCTACATACCGGTAATCTAGGCAGTCTTCCTGTTTCGTGTTCTTTTACTGTCGTCTGCTTGTCAGGATATTGGTTCACGGGTTGCTCTATCATTCATTCATTTCCAAAAGTTTAGAATGTCTCGGGCACTGTGGGCGCTTTATTACGGGAAGTAAAAGAATGTGAGTCTTTAGTCTGCCTTTTAAGGTTTCACTGCCTGAAAGACAGGTGAGATTTGCAAAAAGAAATAACTAATGAGATTGAACACCTTGTCCTTTAAGAGAAAGGTTTACAAATAGCACGAGGATGTGGGAGATGAGGAAGTCCCTCTCAGCAAAGGCCATCTAGAAGGGCTCTGGAAGCGTGTTGCCTGATGGCTTTTCCAGGCTGAGGCTCGCTCATTGCGCGCTGGGTGTGCTGGCCTGTGTGAGGTCCCCATTTGAAGTACCCGGGGGACTGCGCTTGTGCTTTCCCCTGAAAAAAGGGGGAGGATGCGGGTGAGATGGGCCTTGAAGCATGATTAGTATTGAAAGATTGAAACATTTTGTTTGGGGAAGAGCCAGGAGCAGGGGGTGGGGGGAGGCATGGATGCTGGGTGAGAGAAGAGGCGCCTTGCAACATATTTCTCAAGAGTCTCAGAGTCACATTAGGTGCTCTTAAAACTGTTGTGCCAGGTCTCGGACCAAAACCTGGGTTCAGCAACCTCAGAGGTCTGGCCAAGAAAAGTATTCGGAGCCAAGACTCAAACCCTGAAAAGATAAGATTTATCAGGCAAACTAGGACACTCAAATGGAAATTGCAGCCTGAGCTGCCCTGCAGAGTGGGTGAGGGCTCCTTTTAAACCCTCAGCAGAGTTAATTGCTTTCTTCTGCAAGCTCACTTCCCAGGGCCGTCCTGTCTCTTCTGTGCTGGGGAGGAAGTTACTTTCCCATAGTCCCTGGGAGAAAAGATCTGGAGTGATCTGCAAGGCCTGAGGCATTGGGGTGGAGAGGTTTTAGGGTGAGGACGTGAATTAGAATACTTATTCCCAATCCTGCCATTCTGAGGTGGAGGGAAGTATTAAGGGCAAGGTCCTGACTCTCTCCAACGCCTACTCCGCCCATTCTTATTCATTGCTAGGCATCCTTAGTCCCTGGTGACCTTCTGTAACTAGCCCATCGTCCTCGCTCTGCCCGTGCCTGCCTGCCTACCACAAATGCATGCAGATTCATGACGCCTCCTGTGGATCTATTAAACAGAACAGTTATTGCCGGGCCCCAGGTTCCATATCACTTAACAAAGTAACAACCATAATAAAACTCCAGGTATGTGTACATTCCCCAAAGCGTAGACATGTGGCAAGAGAAGCCTCCCAAGAGCTAACAGCGATTCTCTTCAGAAAATCCTGGGGGTCGTAAGTCCCAACACTTGTCCCCATTCCATGATCAGCTCCTCCCTCGCTTGTGCCCCTTGGCAATCAGAGGTCACCGGGAAGATGAGCGTAGTCCCTTTGCAGTCATCCAGTGCTAGGCTGTTAGAATTTCCAGGAGACATTGTTTTGCACCTTTTCTCCTAATAGGACAGCAGCCGCCGGACAGAAGCCCCAGTGACTGTCCCGGAAGTGCAGGCAGGAGTCCTGGGCTGTCCTCCAGGGGCCCCTCCTCAGGTAACGGAGCTTCCACTGATTTACTCTTCTCCACCACTGGGAGGTGTTACTTTTTCCTCAGAACAATTTTAAAAGCAAATACCAGCTCACTGGAGGAGACAGCTTTATTTACTGTGTTCCTTAATTGTGAACAAACTGCTTGGGAGAGGGAAGAAATGGGAAAGCCTGTAATTATCAAGCTTCCGCAGAAATGAATTGCCTTCCCTGTGGGAAAACTAAGGTATGTTTTCCTGTAACGTTCCATGGTAAGAGTTTGGATACAGTACTGTTGGACACAGTACACTCAAATGGCAAACTGTTACCTGGTGTCTCATGGCTAATTGTGGCAGCAGTTGACAAAAAGAGTAATTGACTAAAAAGTGGCCGGGTTTGGGGGAAACACCTTTGCTTCCAGTCGGTGAAAGGAAGGAGAGGGGACCTCCAGGTGCCTGGAGAAGGGACCGGTATATGAGCAGTGCTGTTAGCGCCCACCCCTCCTTTCCGAAGGCACTGGTTCCTGGAAAGTTTGAGGAGCCTGGGAGAGGATTCTGAGAAAGGGTTAAGATCCTATAATTCAAAAGACCCTGGAGGGAGAATAGTTACCTGAAGAAAAGCAGGCTTTTAGGAAAGGAAGGCCTCGGTGTATTTGTGGGAGTGAAACCAGACAGCCAGTGGCTCTGGGCTGCCAGTCACCACATGAGCCAGTGAAGCAGAGGCAGGGCTGAATCATGTATGAGTGTTTATTCCAACGATGCGGGCAGTATGGGAGAGGGGTAGGTCATTCGTAAACATTTGCTTTGTCCCTTCCCCCCGTCAGCCATCTGCTTATAGGGTTACCAGAACAAAAATTACATGGGGAAGTAGGCAATGGAAATAAGAATGAGTATACAAAGTAAAAATGGGGATGGCAGGCGTGGGGAAGTAGGCAAAAGGAAAAAGAATGGGTAAGAGAAGTGGGTATTACTGGCCTGGGTTGGGACTCCGTTATTTGGGCAACAAGGTTATTAATCTTTCTATGATAATAAGTAGCTTCTTATTTTGTTTTTGTAGTAAAAGGGAGAGATTTATTGAGAAACAAGCACAAACTCCCACAGGGGGCGGGGGAAAGAGTCCTGACAGGTAGATCTTGAATGAGAATGGACTGCATTCCAAGGTTGATCATAGATAGGAACACTCCACAGCCAGGCTAGAAGGTGCTTGCTTTAATTTAGAACTACAATCGAGGTTAACAGAGCATGGTTAATGTTTCTCATAGCTATAGTTAGCCCCCGAATTCTACTTCTGCCCCTCGGCAGTGGATCGGTGTAGCTGTACAACTTGTGGAGTGACTGGGTAGATACACGTAGTATTATATTATAGGTTTCTGTGGTGTCTGCTGAGAGGAATGCATGGGTGGTTACATTCTGGATTCTTGGAAAGAGGAGGCGGGAGGGAGGTCTTCGCTGTGAGGAGTCACTAATCAGAATGTATAGGTCCTTGATAACCACTTGGAAAATAGAAATTGGATAGATGACATCCATAGATTTTGGATAGAAATTGGATAGATGACATCCATAGATATTGGATAGATGACATCCATAGATTTTGGCTCCATAGTAGAACCATCTACTTTAACAAAAACAAAACAAAACAAAAAAACAGTTAAAGTATTTTGGGTTTACTTTTAGAATAGGGGAAATCTGACTTCCCAAGGAAGGAGTAAGACCTCCATTGAAATCTTAGCTGGCTGCTCTCTTGTCTGTACTACAGTGGACAAAGCAACACGTGAGAACACACCAGCCACTGTGAGTTCACTGACAGGGAGACGGGCAGGAGTGCCTAGGGCAAAGAAAACTAAAG